ACTTTTTAAAAAGCATCCACCCACAATATTATCAGCATAAAGCAGAACTTGCTGGTGGCTAAAATGTTGCTTTTGTAAAACATACACGCCACTGAAGCACAGATGTACTCTCACTTTTATTTTAGTAGAGAAAATAGAAGGTACAAAACAAGATAGTCTGAATCTACTAATGCATGCCAATTTTAAACCACAAGAGATAAGAATAGTTCATAGTGCAATATTGTTCATTTTTAAAAGAGTCCAATTAATAAATTCTTTATTAACTGATGTTGGATGGAATTTTTGTGAGCTTTTTGGGGTTTTTGTCTTTAAACATCTTGGAATAGTTCACAATAAAACTGGGGGGGGGGGTGTTCCTGCTCTTCTTTTACTGCTACAGTCAAAAAATAATAATATTAGGCATTTTTACCACTAATGATTTCCTGACTTTAATCAGCAGTTCAGTTCATTCTTGGATTACTATTAGAGGGAGAAAAGGAAAAGTCACTTTATTACTCATCCACAAAAATTTTACAAAACTTCAGTATAGTTATTCAAGTTGAAAAGGAAATGGGCAATTACTCTGCTGTCACAGGGACCACTGCTGGGCTGCTTCATCTATCTTTCAAATGACTGGCTGTAACTGGTGGTTGAGATAAGATACTAAACTTGAGGAAACATTTGCTGGTGTCAGATTGCAATTTCTGTAATCATACAGTGGTGATTGCTTGATGTTCTCCCATTAAGAAAAAAAACAAAAAACAAAGAACAAAACCTACTTTTCCAGAAAGGTTCTATAATAAAAGACCTAAATATAGGTTTGGTATTTTTTTAATACATTAAAGCAAAGTCTTCTGTCATTCAAAATATTAGCATGAAATCTCCAGCAGTTCTTGACCTAAATGACACCTCCACAGTAAACCAAGCCTAACCATGTCCAGACCAACCATGCTTAAGTCAAGGAACATCATTCCTGGGAGAAGATCTTTTCTATCATTCTTTAATATCTGTAAACTGCAAACTGTCTTTATGGCACGCTATAAAGAGAATAACATCATCTATCCTTCGGTTTTCTCCAGGGTGTTGCAGCCAATGGGAGTTCCATGAAATTCATGCATGCGCACCCCAAATAACCCACAAGAATTTGTTCAGAAGTAGCGTTCAATAGGGCTATGCACAGATCTTGCGCCTCACTGTCTTCCTCTGCAGAGGTATAAGGCACAAAGCAACTATAGTTGTTACCCAGCTTCCTCAAAACCAGGAGCCTATTGTACATCAAAGGGTCTGTAAAGTAAGGATTAGAAGATAGATCAAAAGACTAGGCTTCAACAACTTAAAGGATGTAGTTACTACACAGCAAGAAACAGTTTTGTAAGTACATCAGAGGGAATTCCACTGCAAGTGAGTAAGGCAGCAGGTAGTTGTTGGAGAACACTTTGGCATTTAAAAGGAAAGAGTCAGTGACTCGTGTCAGCAAGCACAAATGAACTACGCAGTAAGAACATCAACTGAATCACTCCAACTGTAGCACTCTATCAAACTTGATACATTCCCTCTGGAGCAGAAATCTGTGCATTTCACATTATCCTCTGTGACAAAACATCCATTGTAACGCAACCCCAGCGAGAAGGCTTGGTCTGTGACAGTTTCAAAGGCTACTTCTAGAGTCTGATTATTTCTACAGCAATAACATACATTGCCCGGTAATGCAACTTTTTTGTTGCATGGCATCTGGACAGGGAGTTTGCAAGATTTCACCTATTGTTTGTGAACGTTTGGCTAGGTTTGGCAACATCTCATATCCCACACGTCACCAGAGTTCATCCAAGACATTGCTGAGTTCAAATTCAGAGTTTTGCTATTTTCTGGAGAGACAAAAAAATCCTCTTCTTCGATATCTAGTTACTAATCTGTTGCAGATGCATAAACACTTTATTTAACCTATCACCTTACAATGTTTGGGGCATAATTTAATCAAAGCCAATGTAAAAATCCCAGTAAAAAACAGAGAAGCATTTTAAGACTTCCAAGATCTGTCTTCTAATGGGCTCTACTTCTTATCAGTCAGTCTTAATATAGCAATAATCAGATGTGAATATCCATTTTAATTAACATGCCATCATTACTGCCAGCTATTTTATACAAATTTCATATACAGACATGCTGACTTGTGGTCAAACTATGAGATATCTCACTGAGGTATTTAGAAGCTGAATTGCTTCTACCTCCCATTGCATGGCTGGAGGAAATAAACAGTCTGCCCAAAGGCGGGAAAACTGCAGTTGAAAACTACTTTGGAAGATTAATACATCCTTAACATGGATGTTTACTTCTCGTCAGATGAATCACACCCTGTGTGATATGCTGACACAGGATCAGCTTACGTCCTAGTCTCAAGCCTAAGCCAGGACTGGACCACAAAAAAGTCTGGTAGAGTCTACTGCATTATAAGCTGCTCCTTCTGTCCAGTTCCTATTTTCACCAGGGCTTAGAAGACCTCTGTATAAAGACCTTGGTATATCTGTCCTTAGATGATGATACTTAATTTCTAGCATCCTTGCCTGTTACTTGAAAAAAAAAAAAAAACATTCAGAGATCAAGTAACAGTTATACTTACTTTGATATTAACGCTGATACCAGCTTCTGGCCAACAGCACCAGTGCCTGTGCTGTCCTTTTCAGCACAGCCCTATGCATCGCTTTTCCATTTGATGATGCTGGCTTCTCTACTAAATAGACTAAATTGTTCCTCAAAGGTTGAGGAGATACTTGTGGATTGGGATAGTCCCAGAAGGGGGAGTTTTATCACCACATGGCAGTCTTATATAGCGTGCAGGAAAGGGAAGTCTGTCTGGGAGGACACATACCTAATGAATATGCCTAAGCAGTAAAACTAAGCCAGATGTGTTGGACCAAATCACATGTAAACAGGAAACCCAACATATTCTGGAGACATCTGCCCATATTCAGAACTAGCTGATCAGATATTTGCTAGGTTTTTCAGCGAGCCAAATATATTTAAGAGGGAACTGAGGGAGGACTGCAACTGCTCTAATCTCTGAGCTCTTACAAAGAGATATAAATAGGTATAGGGCACGTTGCACCAGTGCATTTCACACTACTTCAGTTCTGTATGCTCAGAAGGCACCTGCAACATGATCCTAATTACATGGAGCTCAGAATTGCATCCAAAGAAAGGTTGGTGTAGAAGCATTACTGAAATAAATGATTTTGTTAAAAATTTTTTTACTCTTAGTATCATACATCTGTCACATTTATCTAGCATGCCTCTTCTGTCCCTGTTCTACATTATTCTTAAACTGTGATCATTACTGCAATATCAAAGTGTCTGTTAGAAGCTGAAACCACCAACAAAACCTCCTCAGTAATTCCGCAGGTTGCATTTCAAGCGAGGCAACTACCTTATGTTTACATTAGCCACTAAACTCAGACGTGCAAGAAGGTACGTTTCTCAGCCAAGTCCTCATAAAGCTTTCTTTGTAATTCTTGCACTCAACCCTTACAACAAGTTTTTTTTAATTGACAAATTATTATTTGCCAGACACAGACTTTGAAGGACAACAGCTTTTGTCTAAGGCTGTTTTGCTCTTTAGTTAGTTAACAAAGCTTTTATATCAGTTAGCCTTTGTACGGTTATTTCAGGGATGCTCTACAAAGTAATAGAAGTCTACTAGTTACTAAAAAATTATAGCCATCTGATCAGGATCCTGAAAATAGGACCAGCCCCACGAGAGGTACATTCTGCACTAGTTCATTCCGAGCAGAATTTGGCAAGAAATGGCAGCAAGTCTCATTTCAGTTGCTTTTATTTTAACTATCTGGACTTTCAATTATACCACTCTTTTTCCTTTTCAGCTCATAACAGCCAAAACACTTTCCATGTTCCATTTTTACTTCGTCCAAGGACAGTCAGCTTGTCCTCCCTAAATATGACAGGCAAATGCCATATGTTGTGTTTGCGGTTTCCAGACTGACAGCTGTCTGTTAGCTCATTAATTATCTATTCAATACCCTTAACACACTCAGTCAAACATCAAAACAACCTCAAGGGTGCCTTGGCTCTCCCCCTGTACTTACAAGATGTTTCTGTAAGTTTAAGACCTTTTAAGACGCACAGCAAAAACTAATTTATAACATTTTAGGTATTCAAATCTACAACATACACTCTTACACATTCTGTATAAAAATTTTTCTCTATCTTAATAGTGCAGCATTTTCCAGTAGTTTGTAATGTTCTTCTACTATTTATCAGACATTTCCTACTTCTTATCATCACTGTGTATCTATGATAGGCACTGAACACACTTGATCCCACTTTCGAGCATGGGCCTTTTTCTGTCACGAGGCATAGTACAATACCAGGATCAAATCAGTTTCTTCAAAATGGAGTGTTTCTGCTCATCTCTTTGGCATCACTGCGAAGTCTTTACAATTTAGTACCTGAAGCACAGGCTACACCAAACCAGTTAATACAATTTTGAAGTTGTTTTGTGTCTCCAATGTTATAAGACATATTTAGATCACATAACCCAACAGGAAAAAAAAAATCCCCCAAACCTGATAAACCAAATTATCAAAATAACGCTAGCAGGTTATTGGGAGAAGACTAGTTGGATTATAAAGTGAGTTTTACAGGAATTTTTCACATTGTAGTTATATTTTTATCCACTTCTTAACAGCATATATAGTCTATTTTCTTAGGTAGAAGAATTGTGTGGAAAAAATCCATATCTTTCAACATCAGCAGCACCGAGTATTAGGTCTTACTCTACATTTTTAGAGCCACAGAAGAAATACTATACTTCAGTATGAAATAATGCAGTTAGCATTATTCTGATAAACACTGAGGAAAAAACACCACATGAGATTTTCCATGAGCAAAATAAAACTGGCAGTTTCCTCTCGTTGGGAGAGAAGACAAAGCTGAAAAGGGAAAAAAGTCAAGAACAATGCTAACGTGCATGGAGAAACGTTCTTTACATATGAGGAAGAAACACTTACCAGTACTGCTCGCCCTTGGGAAATAAAGAAATGGCTAGATACAACAATGGTAAGGATAAGGTGGCCTGATTCTTCATTTGACTCAAAAACCTTTAAGAAGAGAGGGAAAAAAAATGGCCTTATAAGTGCAGAATCTACATTTGCCTTTGCTGATGTAAAGCAAAAGGTTTGAAATGCAGGTGCCAGAAATCAGGCATATAGAATTACTTCTCAGTAACACAAATTGCCCTCCACTCCCACAGAAAGCAGGCACATTCAAGCAGTTCTCATAAATTAGAAAACTCCATATATGAATTCAGCTACTTAACTCTAAGCAACCACATGAACCCTTCCAACTTAATCTATACTTTTCAACTATTTTTAATAGCACAAGTCACTTCTAAAGGAGAGGGGGAAAAAAGCGGGCCACTACCACACTACTGAACTGTTTACGTTAATAATTCATGAGGTAGAATCTCTTGACTCCTGCATTAATTTTGTATTTGCAGGCCAAACTACAGTACAGACACCCAAGCCATCTCTAAGTAAGCTAGTGCACGAGCAGGAAGAAGCCTAGTATTTCCACAGATTATTCTACGTTGTCTCACATTGAGCTTTAATGTAGTTATTGCTAAAAATAAAAAAAAATACTTCTACAAGTTATCTTAATGGAAAGAAATCCCACAGTTTGGGTTATAGCTACAAATCCACCAGCAATCCTAAAATATGGTACATGAAGAACCAGGGACTGGGGCTATGTAACACACTAGGTAAATTACTAAGCACCTGAGACTAAACAATAGCTCTGGATAGCCAGGATTTATTAAAAAATACACGCATAGACCTCACTTACAATTATTGCCTGTCACACAGCAGCCTCCTAGATCCCGCTGTAGCCAGTTAGGGCAAAACCAAGCAGCCAGCCCACCTCAGCACCCTCCAGCCCACCTCCTCCCCAGCACACAGACCTCCTCGCCCCGCCGACGGCAGAGACCCCCTCCGCGAGGGGGGCTGCGAGGGGGCGCGGCCGTTGGGGCGCAGCCGTTAGGACGGGGCGGGGCAGCCCCTCCCCCC